TCACACACTGAGTACAGCAGGTCTCCAGCTGGAGCCGCAGAGCGTTATCAGGGTTAAAGGATGGGGCCTTGTCTTTACAAAGCAGACGGGTGCTCTAACAGCTGTACAGGTGCTTTCACACAGACAAGGATTTTTGGGGCGACAGAGGCTTTCCCTCTGTTTCCACTGCTGCCTGAGTTGATGGTGGTTTGCTAACTTACCATGTGACCATGGTATGAGTTCCGTAGCGTTGTGCCATCGGCCAAATATTCCAATAGTCTGAAAAATGTCCTGTTGGAAAGAAAGCTTGTTATCCCGCCAACAACCACTCTGAAAACACAAACCGTCTGTGCAACAAACAGGAGCACGCGACTAATTCTGACACAGGATGATGTCTGTTTCTCCTTCACGCTGAAGGCTTGATCCGCCTTCTTCTGCCTCTGCTTGGTTTCCCCTCATAATCTCAACCAAACCAAATCTCACTCCTCGTGCCTGAACCAAAGCAACCGAAGCAACCCAACCAACGAAGGCAATGAGTGATTGAACGTATCCTCAGCAACAGTTTGTATGATATCTTATGAAGTTACTCCTCATCTTTTTTGTTTTCCAACAAAACTCCAGCAACACGTGTCAATTCCCGCTAGTTACACGTTGAGTTCTAACGTTGTCCTCTGAGTTGTCAGTTTGCTCCATAAAGTTCAACATTTCTACTTTTTTAACTCTTCAGTTCATGACGGTATCGGCTTCCTCAGAAGATGAGCTCAGACTAAAAAGAGTGACCGGTTGGATGTTTTAAGACTGTCTACGATAGTTTGTGTTACTTTATTCATTCGTATTCTGACAAGTTTCCTGACTGCAGTGAGATGTACACACACCGGGGGAGAGACGAGGAAAGAGAAGGAACAGCGGGAGAATAATATGTGAGTCAGAGAAGTTCACATGAAGTTCTCCAAAGAGAGAAACGTGGTCAGAGAGACCAGAGTCTTTAACCAAGAATGAACAGACTCTTACAGGTTCATTCTTCCCACGGACAGTTTATAACCAGTGTGTCTCATATGTTCAGAGACCGGGACGATTATTAAAAGCGGTAATATGAAGCGACACTACGAGACAAAGCATAACTCCTTTGAGCAAACGTTCCCACATCTGAATGAAGTCACAGAAAATAAAGCTAAGAGCCCAATATGATCAGAATCATAACGCATGAGTTCACTGCCCAACAATGATGTTACCAGAGAGAATAGAGCTGAAACAAGTGGTTTAATAACCACAGATAAAGTCCATGCACAAACATTTATCTTCTTAGAAGATGAGAAAAATATAATATTGTGGCTTTTTTGATTGACATCACTTCACTATTACTAGACTTCTTGAATATATATATATATATATATATATATATATATATATATATATATATA